GGAGGGAGGGAGGTATCTAGTAGTTTACTCCTGGTCCCAACGGATCATCATGCCCAGGACACTTCAGAGGCCATTATATCTAGTCTCTCTTCCCTACAAATAGTCGACCTTCTAGGTGGCCTCCAGCCGCACTGGGGTGGACTCAGGGCTGAGCACACGGGCTCAGGTACAGGTCTGTATGGCACAGGAATCTGTTTCCGTGTTTTTCGAGGCCCAGGTAACTCAGGCACGGGCGCTGCCTACAGACGCGCGAACGCCTGCGTGGATCCACTCTCAGCCTTCAGACCCTGTGCAGAGGCCCTCTCCCGTGCGAAGCTCCCACCCCACATTCAGCTGGACGACACCAGCAGCTCGAAGCAGACCCAGCGCCACCCACCTCCTGCCGGAACTCCACTGCTTCCCGCCCGTCTTCCTCCTTGGTCTCCACCAGGGACATCTTGACCCAGGTTCGGAAGCCCCCAGAGAACTTCCAGCTGGAAGAGGCGCTCTCGCAGGCCTGCATGAAGCCCACCCTGTCTGGGCTGGAGGGCAGAGAAGGAAGGTCCAAGCTCATGAGACCCGACGGCAGGATGCGAGGTGGCCACACTCACGCTCCAGCCCCTACTTCAACTGGTTTCTTTGCTGGCATCGCCAGGATGCTTCCCACCCGCCTCCTCCAAGCTCTGCTGCTCGGTTTCCAAATGGAGAGGGAGCGGTCGCCCCCTCAAGGCAGGAGCCGGTCCCCAAGCCCCCAACGGGAGAAGGCCCCTTCCTCTCAGGGCTGCTCAGGGGACTCTGGACTGGGCAGTCCTGAGGGCCCGCCCCGCCCGGTGCGCGAGGCTGGAGCAGGGGGTGGCGCGCCGCCCGGGAGGCCACCTGTGCAGGAACTCCCGGAAAGAAGAGAAGAGCAGGTAGTCGATGGCGCTGAAGTCCGCGCTGCTCTCGTTCAGGCGGAACTGGAGGAAGACCAGCTCCCGCTTCTTCACTTCCCGCGGCCCCTGCACGATCAGGGCGGATTTCTGCAGACACACCAAGGCCAGGACCTCAGCGTGGGCGAGCTGCCTGGCTGCTCCTGACCCTCAGGCCCAGACACCAGAGGTGGCAGAGGGGGCAGCTGGCCACCCCGCCTGCTCCGGGGGCCCGGGCCGCGCCTCGGCCACTCTTCTCACCCGTTGCGCTATAGATACTCTTTGTGAGAAAGGATATTAACTTCCCTGTGACATGTACAAATGTTTCTTCCACGTGGTCTCTTTCCTGTTAACTTTGCTTATAATGTCATTTGTTTTATGAAGCTCTAAACTTGATGTGAAATCTGTAAATCCCTTTTTCACAGCTTCTGGGTTTTGCTTGCTAAGGAAAACCCAACTTATAGCCATACCCTCCTGTATTTCCTTATAGCATCTTTTTTCAACCTTTTTCACACTCAGGTAGTTTGTGTATGGTGTAAACAGGGGTCTGACTCCACTCCCCTCACACTGGAGATGCAGGTACCATCCCTGAGGGTTCCCACTGTGACCTCGGGCTGAGCAGGGCCCTTGCAGTCCCTGCTCCCACCCCAAACCTGGCAGGGCTATTTTTGTACATGTGCTCTTCTCATGCCCTTAAAAGCTAGCTTAAGTTCCATGAAAAAATCAACTGGGACTTTAACCTGATAATACCAGGTTGACAGATTAACTTGGGGAAAATATCTTAACATCGACTTTTTCAGGCGCTCAAAGACATTTGAGGAGGGAGTCCTCTGTCAGGCGCTAAGTGAGACACGCGCTCCGAGCGCTTTGTGCTTTTCAACCGTTACCTGACCTGTGAATTTCTGAGAGCTTACATACGCTCTCAGGTATGGGGCTTTTTATTTCCAACAGGTTTTGGCTAAAATATACAACTAGTGTGCTGTTTTGCACATAATGATAGATTGATGACTGTTCAATCTTCTCAGTGGACAGTGGTGGAGCTGACCCTCTTATCCACATTAAACATCCCTCTTAACCCTTTGCATCTGAAATTCCTTTCTGACTGAGGTTAACACTGTCACTCCACTTCTGGTTACTGATGCATTATCCCAAGAGATCTCTCTCTGCCCGTCTATTTAGTCTCAACCCTTCCGTGGCATGGTAAGTGGCAGCTGAGAATGCTAACTGTCCTCGGTTTCCATTATCCACTTCCTTCCGCACACCTACAGCCACTTCCCCAATCCCAGACATTCCCAGAACACAGCCACCCTGCTGGGGTAGCCTGTCCTCCTCCCGTGAGGGACAGAATGCCCCAAAGTCACTCTGACTGAGTGCAGGTGAGCCAGGCACGGCCACGACCCACTGAGGACAGCCTCGTGTTTGCTGGAGCCAAAGGCCCACACCAACAATGTGGCAGAGGCCACTGGCAGAAAGCAGCGGGGGCCCTCAGGTGTGGGCTGGCAGAGCACGCTGCACAGGCCCAGAGAGTTACCAGGGTCTGGTTGGAGAAAGGGTCCGTGTAGTTGATCCTCTGGGTAGTGCAGTTCATGTCTCCAGGCTGCCCCGGGCTCCTCAGAGGGGGAATAACCTCATAATGGTGCTTGCAGCTGAGCAACTGGGCCTGACCGGGGTACAGGGCAATACCTGGGTGGACAAACGGAAAAGTGAATGTCAAAAGGTACAGTCCCTGACCACACTCCTAACATCAAGTCACATATATTTTTTTCACACCCATCAACAGCCTAAGTTCAGGACTCCCCGGGTGACTGCAGGGGAGGGAGGAAAAAAGGTTACAGAGGGTGAGAAGCCACATCCTCTGCCCTGGAAAGCCCTACTCTAATGAAGGACACAAGCCCTCCTCAAGAAGCCTGTCTCCTGGCCTGTGAGGCAGCCTCCCCTGGGCCTGCACCAGAACCCTGCTCTGTGCACCAAGGGGGCCTCCGAGACTGAGCCAAACCCCCAGGACTGGCACCCTCCCTGTGGAGTGACTGGGAGGCCACCACCGTGGGGCCGCCAGATCTCATGTTGTCCCTCATCTCCTGCTCTGCGTGGGGCTCCACATGTGCAAGGCACCTCCCAACAGTCCTGCCCTCGCCCCAGTCAAGGGCCCTCATTCATGTCTCTACTGATGGTAGCTGTTCCAACCTCAGGGGAGAAACACTGCAAGGAGCACACGCACCAGACCCAGGCAGAGCTCAGAGAGACCAGGAAACCAGAAACAGAGTAGCCTATAGATAAAGAGAGCAAAGCCAGGCTAGACTCAGCCTCTCAGAGAAACCCTCAACCTCCCCACTCTCACCTTTGCTCCTGCTGGTCCTCCTCCCAGAAAAACTCTCTTCCCATCTGTCAGAGGCCAGCTCAAATCCTGCCTCTGTGCAAAGGGCTCCTTGCCCACCCCAGTTCTACAGGGGCCACTCCAGGCTCTGTCCACCTCCCTCCCTGGCACAGGCCACACTAGACTGGGTACCAACAGCAGCTCTCTGGGTGTGTACCCCACACCCAGACGGTGCTCAGACTCCTCCACCCTGCCCGTCGTGTTCAGCATGGGGCTAAGAGTGCAGTGGCAGCACAGGGAGTATTGCACGTGGGTGCCCCAAACCTGGGCCCTAATACCTGTCCTAGCAGGCTCTACCTGGGGCGTCGTAGAGATCCACCTCCTTATAAGACACAGACATGACGGGGTGCTTGAGCTTCTCGCGGAAGTCTGTGATGGTCTGGTAAACCAAGAAGACAGCCACGGCCATGAGGAGCAGGTAGATGAAGATCAGCAGGACCGAGAAGACGTTCTTCAGGCAAGCCTTGCTGAAGCGGATGCTGCTGGATGCAGACTCGCTGTCAAGGGCTGAAGGACAACGACACACACGTGACCCAGAGTGCAGAGGCAGGTGGGGGGGGCAGCCTCCAGGCCCTTACCTGCTTTAGCAAGGAGGCAAGGTAACTGCACATCTGACCTCCCCACCTCGGCCTCCACCCACAAATCATAACACGCAGCACCTATCAACATTCACTACACACCTACTCTGTGAGCAAGGGGACCCGAGCTGGAGGAGGCTCCTCTCTCAAGAGACAGACAGTTATATCCCAACAAGGGAGCCGCCCCAACCTACCCTCTGGCCTTAGCCCTCAGCTCTCCCCTCTCCGCCTCCCAGCACCAGTAAACCACCTCCTGTCCCGCCAGCGCGCCCTCCATGCTGAAGCCCGGCCTGAACACTTTTCTCCCCCAGCTGGCTCCCAATCATCCTTTAGGTTCCAGTTTAGAAAGGCATTCCCTCAAGGAAGCCTTCCCTGACCCCTAACTTTATTTGAGCACCCCTTCCTCAGAGATCCCAGGGCACCCATGTGTCCCCTATCAGCACTCTGCAATGTCACTGTCTACATGTCTTTTGATCCCCCTAGGCTTTGAGTTCCATGAGGGTGGGGACGAGGGCTAGTTTTGTCCATATTGAACTAGCCCTTCGATGCTGTACCTGGAACAGAGCAAGCGTTCTGCATTTACATGGTGAATGACTAAAGATTCATTACATGTGTTCTAATGCCATCCCTACAACACAGCTCTGCCTGCTCTCAAACCATTCCCAGTCTTGATTACTCTGTTATAGACTGAATTGTGTCCTGTTCCCTAAAATTCATGTATTGAAGGCCTAACCCCCAATGTGACTATATTTGGAGATTGAGTATTTAAGGATGTAATTAAGGTCAAATGAAGTCATATGGGTGGAGCCCTAATCCAGCAGTTCTAGTGTCCTTATAAGAAGGAGAAGAGACACCAGGGATGCAAGCACACGGAGAAAAGGCCACATAAGGACACACACATGGAGAAGTTTGCCATCTGCAAGCCAAAAAGAGGCGCCTCAGGAGAAATCAAATCTGCTAACACCTTGATCTTGTACTTCCAGCCTCCAGAACTGAGAAAAAACTTGTTTAAGCCACGCAGCCTGAGCTGACCAAGACACTCCCACCATGCTCCATGCTCCTCTACCCAGGAGAGGCTGGCTCCCCAAGGAAAAGCCCTGTATCCTCCAGCAGCTGAGCACAAGGTTTAGGATGATGGGGAACTGGAATGTAAGTCCAGAAAGATGTGTGGGCGGCTTATGGCTTCCACCAGTGACAGAGGAGCTTGGCTACACCACCCTTCTACAGATAACAATTACAAAACTTGGACAAAATAGTTAAATGTTATTTGAAGGCACTAGAGAATGGTCAAAAGCAAGCAGAAATTGGAAGACAATCTACGCTTGAAAGAAAAGAAAGTGAGGAGGAGGAGGAAGAGGAGGGGGAAGGGGAGGGAAAAGAGGGGGTTGGGAGGGGAAGGAGGTTTGTAAATTTGCAGCTTTCTGCCTGAGGGCACTCACGAACAGTAGACAGGAGTTCAGGGCTGGCAGAGCAGTCAGACAATTATGGGGGAAACATGAAAAGGGAGGGAAACACATGGGAGTGAACCCTCAAACCTGCAAATAAAATGTTTAAATTCTTGACTGGAGACTCTAGGGGGCCCAGCAAAAAAGCAGCAGGTGATAACTGAAAAAACTGAGGGGAGATTTCAGCTGCTGCTAATGCAGAGGACATAGAAGTGTCGAACTTCAGTCTTCCCACATTAACTACCTGCTAAGACAAAAATTCTTCTTCAGAGGATCATAACAGAATTCAGAAGCTCTGTGCGTCATTTACAACGTCTAGTGCTCAATCAAAAATCACTAGACAGGTAAAAGGCAAGAAAATGTGACCCACACTAAAGAAATAAACCACCAACAGACCTGCTCTACAAGGGCTTCTAAAGAAAATTCCGAAAGGTAAAGGGAAATGGCACTAGATGGTAACTCTCAAATGTATAGTAAGAAATAAAGATCACTGGAAATGTTAAATAGGTGGGTAAATATAAAAAGCTATATTTTCTTAAATTTAAGATTGTCTAAAGCAAAAATACACAATAATATCATAAAGTTTGTACCTTGAGAAAATTCAGAACAGAGAAACAAAAATGAGACAAACAAAAAACAGCAAATGAAAGAACCAAATCCAACATCAGTAACTACACTAAATGTAAATAAAACAAACACTACAATTAAAAGGCAGAGACTGTCAGCCCGAATTAAAAACAAGATCCAACTACATGCTCTCGATAAAAAATGAACTTTAGTGACATCAGCATCATGGAATAGTGAGAAGACTCCATTATTTCTTCCCTTAAATTTACAAGTTGAACAATTATAACTCAAGAAAAGATCCCTGCTCAACACACAAACACGCCTGAAAAATCCACACATTCAGATGTCTGAAGATGGGCATACTAGAACAAGCAGGGAAGACACGTGGGAGAAGGAAAGAACAAATATGCTGCAGATGCAGGTAGGTGTCCACCATGGCTCTAGAAAGTGTGGTAGCAGGGGAGGAGTAGGGCTGTAGCCCTAACACTATGGCCTGGAGTGTAAGAGGGGCAGAAGCAGTTTCCCTCCAGAAAGGTATCTCCCCATTGTGGCAGAACCAGGTAGAGGTGGCTGGGAAGCTTTAAACAAAACAGTGGAGCTAACAGCCTGCCTCCTCTCTCCCACATGCCCTGGCAGAGATCAGTAAAGACAAAAATAGAGAAGAAAGGAGGTAGCTCACAGTTCTCCAACACCCACAATATTCCCCCAACACTGTGGCAGTGTTCCATAACCAAAATGAGCTGGTCACAGAGAGGACAACACCATCCCATTGGATACACAGTACTTTCCTTAACCAAAACACCACTTCACTGTGATCCCAGAATCACAAATAGTGCAGGTAAAAAAAAAAACACATGAAACAAAAACCAAAAAAACTTGTGCTACAGCACCATCTACTGGAAAACAAAAGAAAGTACCCTACCTATAAACCTGATGAATTGTTGAGTAAAACAGTATCTACCCAAAAAAGAGATCACTACCTCAAATGCACAGACAGGAAAACAATCCATCAAATACCACAATCAATCAAGGTAACTTGGGAACACAGAAACAAAATGAAAAGACTCTAGAAACCAAACTCAAAGTTATGGAAGACTGTGATTTAAATGACAAGAGAAAGAATTCAAGGTTGTAATTACGAAAAAAAACTATACAAGGAAATATACAAGAAAACTCAAAAAGGCAGTTCAGTGAACTAAAAAATAAAATTAATGAGCAAAAGAAGTATTTTATCAAAGTGACTAAAACTATAAAAAAGAACCAGAAAGAAAATCCTGATGGTGAAGAACTCAATGGATGAAATCAGGAATGCTTCAGAGCACACTGGAAACACAGCAGTCAGATGGAAGAGACGATCGGCAAACTCAAAGATAGAAGCCCGGCAATGACCCAGGTGGAAGAAAAGAGAGAGCTAGGAGTTTTAAAAAAAAAGAAAAAGAAAAAACCCCTCTATGAGAATTAACTACATTAGAAAGAACCACCTAAGGATAACAGGTACACCAAAAGGAAGAGAGAGGGAGCAGGGAACAGGGAGCCTACTCAAAGAAATAATTGATGAGAACTTCCCAAGCCTACGTAAAGAAAATGGACTTTAGAGGAAGCTAAAAACATAACCCAATTATATCATTGCAAAAAAAAAACAAAAAAAAACACACAACCTTTTCCAAGATACATTTTTTGCAAACTGTCAAAAATTAATGACAAAAAGAATTCTCACGGTAGCCAGGGTAAAAAAGACTAACCTACAAAAGAACTCCCAGTAGATTATCATCAGATTTCTCAGCAGAAACATTACAAGATAGAAAAAAGTGGAAGGAAATATTCAAAATACTGAGAGAAAAGAACCATCAGCCAAGGATAATATATCCAGCAAAGTTATCCTTTAGATATGAAGGAGAAACAAAGGCTTTTCCAGACAAACAAAAGCTGAGAGAATTTGCCACCACAAGATCTGCATTACAAGAAATGCTTAAAGGAGCTCTTCTATCAAAACCAAAAAGTCAGATACAGAGTTCAAAACACTGGTTATAAAGATGCTCAATGAATTTAGGAGAAAAATAGATGAACGCAACGAAAATTTTGACAGACAGAAAACATTTAAAAAAGTCAGAAATGAAGAATACAATAACTTAAATGAAGACAACATTAGAGGGAATCAACATCAGATTAGATGAAGCAGAAGCAGTGAGAAACACCTGATCAGAACAGAAAAAAATAATAATTTTTAAAATTTAGGAGTTTAAGGGACCTCTAAGACAATGTCAAATATGCCAACATTCACATCATAGGGTAGCAGAAGGTAAAGAGCACTGAAAAACTATTTGAAGAAATGATGATAAAAAACTTCCCTAACCTGGTGAAGAAAAACATACAAGTCCAGGAAACGCAGAGAGGCTCAAACAAGATGAGCCCAAAGAGGCCCACACCAAGACACATCATAATTAAAATGGCAAAGGTTAAAGACAAAGAGAGAATCTTAACAGCCACATAAAAAAACAGTGAGTTACATACAAGGAAGCTCCCATAAGACTGTCAGCTGATTTCTCAACAGAAACTTTGCAGGCCAGAAGGAAATGGCGTGAAATATTAAAGAGATAAAAGACAAAGACCTTTAAGAAAGATTACTCTACTCAACAAGACTATCATTTAGAATTGAAAGAGAGATAATTTCCCAGACAAGAAAAAGTGAAAGAAATTCATCACCGCTAAACCAGTATTTCAATGAACTTCTTTAAGAAGGAAAGAAAAGATCAAAAGTATGAATAAGAAAATATAAGAAAGAAAGAAAATTCTCACTGTCAAAGGCAAATAGTAAAAGCAGTGGATCAACCAACTAAAAAGCTAGTATACCAAGGTCAAAAGACAAAAGTAGGAAGATCACGAGTAATTACAACAATAAAATAAGAGATAAACAAAA